TCATCATCAATTTCATTCTGGGACCGACTGCAAAGTTTTTGGAAATCCCCCCACGCCCATTCCGGACACGGAAGACGGGGGAAATTGCCTACCAGATCGTGCCACCGGCAGTGTAAATGTTGATCACGATGGACAGACATCAGTCGCCTCAATATCCGATTGGATGGACTAGCAGGAGGGTGAAATACCCACAAGAGCTTGCCCACTACGGAATTCGACGCTAGCCTGACAATTGAGCAGCAACTGCTTTTGAATTATGTTTTCGACAATGTAGGTGATCGTCTCTGGGTATAAGTTCTGGCAAGAAACCTTGGGCCTGATATGCCTTCTCACATCGAACCCCCTGCATTCATCAGACAAACGACCCACTGCTATTTACCCCCTCCTTCCTTGCTTTGCTGAGCGGCAATCATGTTCCACCCAAATTATCTGAGCCCACAAGACTGCCCTGTCCGAACGTCAACCTCAATGGAGGCTTGGCAAGGTCCGCCTCAGGATGCCTGCAGCACACATGTAGATGGTAATTATTAGACTTCCCACGGTGTTGGCAGAGTTAGCTGGCCAAGAAACTGACTTAGTCCGAAGGAACACTAGACTTTCGTTCATACATCTCTTCGACCAACGATAGTAGAAGTTGGGCATACGCTTTGCCGTTACCCAGCATCGATTCACCACAATGGGACCCTTCTCAAAGGGAAATGCTAGCGCCGCTGCATCTCCATAACAGGAGACTTGAAGAATATGGACACGACTTCTCGAGGCCACGTGTTTTATCTATGCCCGAATACGAAACACCCATCCATCATGATGGCTATGGACAACCGGAAAGACGTCCGCAGATCATTACAGGCCTTGGGAGGCATAGGTCTGACCCACGGCTAAACTCGGAGGCGATTTTCGACCAGCCGGCAAGCAGATACTACAAAACATCCTCAGATGTCAATGTCGACAATGTCTCGCAGATGTCAGACTTGTCCCCATGCCCGCTGATGGAGTATGAGTCAAATACCGCTCGCGGTGCCGTGAACTTGTACCCAAGACCATCGCCGACTCGTCATCGACACCGATCTCACTCAGTGGCAGAGGATCCCAGATCCTCACCTCGAGATCGTAAATATCTTTTTGTCAACCGAACCGTCAAGGATGGGAAGTTGATTTCAAGGGGAGTGCAAGCTTCGGGCTCCTGGAAGACAATAGACCGGCGGAAAAAGGCAGCACGTGACGATGAAAGACGAGTTGCCAAGGCTACGACAGAGGCGATCTCGAGTTTGAGAGACCACTTGGGAAGGATGCTTGGAATGGGACTGTCATTTTCGGATTTGATGGAAGAATTAGGTCGAGAAGCACAGAAGACTCAGATATCTTCATAGCGTTTCTGTAATGACAAGATAAGCAAGGTCTCTGAAGCAACAATAGTCATGGATGATTTTCTATTTAGGACCACAGCGCGAAATTGAAGCAATGAAGCTCGACTAACTTTTAGTCACAAGTATTCGACTTATCAAGTTCGGGACAACATAATTAGGTCTATCTTATAATAAACTTACGCTGCAATACCTCATCTGGCGATCTTAGTTTGAGCTTGCAAATGTTGCATCCACACGTAATGTTACGTGAACTCTGAGCCAGCTTTTTCTCCATGTTGGTTCTATATGGGCTTCGTGTACCAGGTGGTGGCTTTTTACGTGACCTTCGACTTATAAGCCTTGTCAGTCGTCAACAAAAACGTTGAACATAGCAGATAATGATGCGGCAATGGCTTCCACAAGGCAGGGAGTACTGAAGCATCAATCGAGTACTAAAGTTTTGCGAATCGGGAAAGTCTGTATCAAAGAATTCTTGATTTTCGGGCATATGTTCTGATTAGGCTCACACGTTTGAGGTGAATCTAAGCTTTGCATTGGACGGCAATATTTGAGAGGCAGGTGCGGAAGCTGTGATGAAATCTTTCTCAGACGCATGACAAGCGCTCTACAAGACCATCAGCAAGCCGGCGATTACCAGCACCCACTTGCCGGACCGGACGGCCTGGACACTGGCCGTTGGGACTTGTACGATCGCTGCGCCTGAAGCTGTACCTCTGGTCGTTGGTGAAGCTCTATTGCTGCCGTCAGAATCTTCTCCTTCTCCTCCTACCCCTCCTCCGCCTCCTTTGCCACTTTCACCACTTCCACCACCGCCTGAACTGCCGCTAGCAACTTTGGTTGATGCAGGGGAACTACCGGGGCTACCAACTTTACCGAGAGTTGCAGGCGACGCGGTAGCTGTGTTAAACAGCTGTGTTAAATATCCTGCAACAACGAAGTGGCCTTGAGACGGGAAAGGTTCCCTTAACAATACCAGGAGACATTTCGGGCCTACTGGAAGGTACTGGCGCAAGACTTGATGTGAAGGCGTAATTATTTTCTGTATTAGAGTTTCCTGAGCTTTTGTGAGGGCTTTCAGCTTACTGAACAGTCGACTGTTGATAATGCCAACGTTTCAATCTCAGTAGACAATGTTGCCGCCCAACATACCTACGTAAAACGATATGGCCGCAAGCGCTACAGGTTTCATTTCGACCAAATATATGGCAAGCTAAGAAAATAGTGAAAGGGATTAACAATAATGAATCGAGATGGTGATAAGTCGTCGTGTTCAAGATTGAGTTGAGGGGCAAAGGAAAACAATCACTCGCCAAAGGGGGTAGCTGAGGGGGAGGGGGGTGTTTCTGGGAAGCCACGAGACTCTTCGACTGTTCCCGATTCACAAGGTGGAATGATCAATCCTACGATTTCACGGTTTGGTGTCGTCTTTTAAGTGCCCATTATCAAGTGATTGTGCCATGGTTTGATTATAATACCTCAGTGTCATCAAGAGCGATGCGAGGTCACATGGATCCTGAGTTGCCGGAGTTATCAAGCCTACCTACTAACTTGGCGATCGCTGCATACCGCCAGAAGAACAAAGAATCGGGGCAAATGAGGTCCGGTACGGATAATTGGCACTCTTAAGCTCGCATACGTGTCAAAAGCGCCTTGCGGGAGCTGACCATGAAAGTGCTGGGTTTGGATGGAAGGTGTATTACTTAGAGCAGGTCTTAGTTGTCTGAGGTAGTTGGAAAAAGTCTCTCGATTCAAAATTGTGTACAATAATCTAGCTGAAACTGCTCCAAGACATGGAAATATGGAAATATGCTGGTAGCGTATGGGCTTTGGCTCACTTGACTTGATCCTGACAACTTCGAAGTTTCTTCACAAAGGCACATGCCTCTTCGCCTCTTTGTCTGCACATCTTCGGTCATCACATAATTCAGGCTCTGATCGCAGCTTCAGTCTAAGACATTTCATAGAAATTCTCAATGTGATGTGGGTAGCTTTGACAAGTTCCAACACATGAGCTGGGATCAAATGTAGCTTCTTGACTGCTACCAATCTTCCAGTCCGCTTGAGTTCGAAGGAAAGTGAAGACTCATTTTGGTTTGATATCTCTTACTTGGCATGTAGTCTTTGAGCTATTCTAAGTGCAGACATCCGTAATTTCTTCCAGCAATGAAAGCTGCATCGACTGTGAAGGATCATAATGAAGAATCAGACACGAATGTAATGACCTACCGCCTTGTACCAAGCGATTTTGCCAAATGCATCTACCTAGCGTCAAAGCCAAGGAATCGGAATGTAGATTTTGTATCTTAACCCCGAACATCACCAGATAGGCCTAACCCCTTTGACGCGCCTGGGGCTGGATCTAGGCAGGTAGGACATCAACACAACATAGCGCTCCCCAAGTGCCGGGCGATGTTTAGCGTTATAGAAAATGTCTCAGTTCAGTCTCTATGCGGTGCTCTCGTATCACCACACGAAACCGACCGGTTTCTGAAGATGGTCTAGCTTGCTCATTCATTATGTCAGGCAAGTCACTTAGTCGGGCGCTATGTAACGGAAGTTAGGACAAAGGTCTGCTTGCCGATATTGATCAGCCTTCGTATGGCATCTGGCCCGAAAATTGACTGATGTCTTTCCTTCTCAAACCTTATATGGTCGGGAGTCAGTATTGGACCATACCGAACAGCACAGCCACCACCACCCAGATGGATGGACATCCGGATGCATTGCACCTACTATGATTATCGCCGCCCGTTGTCCCCTCTTCTTCTGATCTCGGGTCGCTTCATCGGAATGCAGTCTCAACCAGAAAACGATCCAAACCTGCTTTGAATAAGCAATCATTTCTAATCCGGTTTGACATCGTCTAGTGTGACGGTCGAGTAGTTCCGTGCACTACAGCTAATGAGATCTTAGTCAAGGCATGCCCTAGCCTAATCGTCTTTCTCCATGTTTCCATGCAGAAGCAAGATGTCCTTAGAACAGTTCGTAGACTTTTTTCCATTGGACGAAATAATATACATGCAGGTTACTGAAAACTTAATCGGCAAGAGGCGAGTCTGGATCCATCCAACGTTCCGGCTTTGAGTTGAACTAATCCTCCTCTGAACGGCGTTCGTTTCTCGGTGGTCGACTTGTACCACAGCTCCTTTTCTTTTCCTGTCCAGAACTACTACTGGCTATCTGCTTACAGAAGATATTCTCATAATGTAAACAGGCGATATTGTCTCTTAGTATTATTGCTGCATCAGGTTCGAAGCAGATGGTTGGAAATGGCGGGGACAAGGTTCTTGGGGCTACGATAACAATTTTGATTACAGGTAGGTAGCTCAGGTTTATGGTAGTGTAGAAGTCACTCTGTCGATCAATTTGTTGGCTCGAATGGCAAAAGCACTTGACTTCAGAAACACGTATAGGTTTGGCGCTCTCCTAAGCGGGCTCAGCTTCAACGGCAATGCGATGTCCACTTAGGAAATCGAGCACTCGAAATTTAAATACAGTCCTTGTTTTTCTGTGTCAAAGCATCAGGGAATCATCGTCTCAAAAACTCACTTTTCTTCCTTGTTGTAGAACTCTGGGGACTTGGAGACCAAATTTGCTTTTTCGAACTGACTTCTCAGTCACAAGATAGGCAAGATGAAGTGGAAGATTCCGATTTCCTTCATCGTCTTTTGGACGAGGATTGTTGCCATTCCGGCGGGTAGTAACTCTCCCTGCCCAATAGATGCCAAAGTCGTGGTTGAATACCAACCTTTCGAAATCCAGTGTTCTGGGAATGTCGCGACTTCAACCAGGACCAGGTGAGACTTTCTCAAAAGTTCAACATGGGCGCTTTTTGTTGACATCATCTAGGACGTGGACTGAGTGGCTAACCACCACCGATATTGTCATAGGCGGAACTATCACGTCAAAGACAACGGTAACTTTGACCGCCTCTGAAACCCTTGGTGTAGTTGTTTTTACGTCGACAGGCTCCAAGACGGGAGCCAAAACAATTCCGCCAAAACACCCGGGAGATCCAACTTCAGTTATCACCTATATAAAGCCTCCGAGGAGTTCTTTACCCACTGTCACTTCTCTCGCAAGTAGACCCGGGTTAACAACCGTCCCCCCGGGTCCGAATGGCGGTCCATCTACGGTAATTACATTCGTAACAGGTCCTATTACAGTAACCTCGTCTGCAAAAACAACTGGCCTGAGTACCATTCCCGGAGTTGATGGAAGACCCCCTACCGTGGTTACTTTTGTCACCACGCCGCTGTCTCCAGTGACCCTCACTTCAATCGCATCGACAACTGGGCTCACAACTATTCCTCCTGGTCGCAACGGCGGCCCCCCTACGGTTGTTACTTTCATGACCCCTCAGTCTGGCCCAGTCACTATCACTTCTCTTGCTTCTACGACTGGTCTGACAACCGTTTCTCCCGGTCCCAATGGTGGTCCTCCGACGGTGGTTACTTTTGTCACCACGCCGCTGTCTCCAGTGACCCTCACTTCAATCGCATCGACAACTGGGCTCACAACTATTCCTCCCGGTCCCAATGGAGGTTCTCCGACGGTGGTCACCTTTGTGACCCCTCAGTCTGGCCCAGTCACGATCACATCGCTTGCTTCTACGACTGGTTTGACAACCATTCCCCCTGGTCCCAACGGAGGTTCTCCTACTGTCGTCACGTTCGTCACTTCGCTTCTCAACTCCCAAAAGACAGTAACAATCACCTCTACCGCCCTCACTACTGGGTTGGTGACTCTTCCCCCGGGGCCTAAAGGAGGCCCTCTTACTGTTGTCACTTTCGCTCCAGAACCCCCGGGAACGGTGACCATAACATCTTTCGCATCTACCACTGGCCTGAGCACTCTTCGATCCGGTCCTGATAGTGGCCCGCCGACTGTGATTACCTTTGTTACCACACCTTTACCTCCAGTGACGATAACCTCACAAGCATCCACAACGGGGTTGACAACTCTTCTTCCGGGGCCTAACGGCGGTCCACCAACTGTCATTACCTTTGCAACGGGGCCTCCTCCAGTTACTGTTACGTCTACTGCATCTACTACTGGCCTCACAACGCTTCCGTTAGGGCCCAACGGGGGACCTGCTACGATAGTTACCTTCGTTACCGGTCCGCCGGCAGCCAACCTTCCTGTCACCTTGACATCTACCGCAAGCACTACCGGTCTCACTACTATTCCACCTGGACCAAATGGCGGAGCCCCTATAATTGTCACATTCGTGACGGGGCCTCAGCCTGTCACGTTGACCTCGACCGGCAGCGCGACCGGTCTTACGACGCTTTATCCGGGCCCAGACGGCGGTCCCACGACCGTCATTACCTTTGCTACCGGTCCTCTTCCAGTCACCTTGACATCATTTGGAAGCACAACTGGGCTGAGAACATTCCCTCCGGGGCCGGGTGGAGGCCCTCCTACCGTTGTTACCTATGCTACAACAACTGCGCCTGTGCCAGTTACAATTACGTCTACGGCCAGCACTACTGGGCTGACAACTCTTCCTGCTGGTCCAAACGGCGGCCCACCAACGGTGGTGACGTTTGCGACTGGTCCTCTTCCAGCCACCTTGACCTCATTCGGAAGCACAACCGGATTGACTACGCTACCTCCAGGCCCCAGTGGAGGCCCTCCCACAGTTGTTACTTTCGCTACAACTACCGCACCCATTCCAGTTACAGTCACTTCCACTGCGAGTACTACAGGTCTCACAACTTTTCCTTCAGGTCCCAACGGCGGTCCGCCAACAGTAGTGACGTTTATTACTGGCCCGCCTCCGGTTACCCTCACATCTTTCGGAAGCACAACTGGGTTGACTACATTCCCCCCGGGTCCAAACGGCGGTCCTCCTACTGTTGTCACCTTTGCTTCAAGCACTGCGCCTATTCCAATTACAATCACCTCAACCGCGAGTACTACGGGCCTTATCACTATTCCTGCGGGTCCGAACGGCGGACCGCCGACCGTCATCACCTTCGCCACGGGCCCAGCGCCCGTGACGCTTACTTCTATGGCCACTACAACTGGCTTGACTACGATTCCTGGTGGTCCTGGGGGCCCTGATACAGTTATCACGTTCATCACCAGCCCGCAACCAATCACCATCACGTCTACCGCCACCACTACTGGTCTCACAACATTGTCGCCGGGTCCAAATGGTGGGCCGCCGACGGTTGTCACTTTCGCTACAGGCCCGGCACCAGTGACTATCACATCGACTGCTAGTACGACGGGCTTGACTACTATACCTGGAGGACCGGGCGGCCCCAACACAGTCATCACCTATGTGGCGAGTCTTCCACCGGTCACAATCACGTCTACCGCAACTACCACCGGCCTAACGACTGTGCCCGGGGTTCCTGGGGGTCCACCTACCGTTATCACCTTTGTTACCGGACCCTCTCCTATCACCGTGACTTCAATGGCGACGACGACTGGTCTAATAACGCTGCCGCCAGGCCTTAACGGTGGACCAAGTACAGTTGTGACTTTTGTCACTGGCATTCTCCCTGTAACAGTAACTTCAACGGCATCTACGACAGGTCTAACAACTATCCCGCCTGGTCTAAATGGAGGCCCTACTACGGTAGTCACGTTCGTGACAAGACCGGCCCCCGTCACTTTCACATCTACTGCCTCTACGACGGGCCTGACAACTCTTCCCATTGGCCCAGGTGGAGGTCCCGAAACAGTAATCACCTTCGTTACTGGAACTCCGCCTGTAACTCTTACTTCAACAGCAACTACCACGGGTCTCACAACGCTGCCGCCAGGCCCTAACGGCGGACCGACTACTATAATAACCTTTATCACCAGGGAACCAGTGACCGTCATTACCCTTACGACTAGCTTTAGGCCCATAGGAACAACCTTTACGACCGGTCTTGTTCAGACGTTCCCTCCAACACCCGGCATTTCGGTAACCGGTGCCCCACCTTATTTGCTAACTCTCATCACTCGGACAGCGAGTACAACCGGCCTTACCACGCTTCCCTATTATATTGGCGACGGAGACGACTTTATATCGATAACAATAGTTACATTTGTAACTCCCCCAGCACCAATCACTGTCACCTCAACCGGAAGTTCAACTGGCCTGACTACAATTCCTCCCGGACCTGCAGGTGGCACGCCAACCGTAGTGACATTCGTAACTACAACTCCTCCAGTCACTATTACCTCAACAGGCAGCACTACAGGGTTGACAACCATTTCTCCCGGAACGGCCGGCGGACCTCCTACTGTGGTCACGTTCGTGCCTCGTATCGGGGTCGTCCGTACTCTGACATCTACCGCCAGTCAGACCGGAGTCACCACTCTGCCTCAAACGGATCCTGCTGGAACGACAACTGTGATTACTTTCGTTCCGCAAGCCACAGAGCTTTCAGCCACAGGGCTTTTGACAACCTTAACTTCGACTGGCGCGCAAACAGGCGTCACTACTTTGCCTCAAACAGATCCTGCTGGAACGACGACTGTGGTTACTTTCGTTCCGCCAGCCACAGGGCTTTTAACAACCTTAACTTCGACTGGTGCGCAAACAGGCGTCACTACTTTGCCTCAAACAGATCCTGCTGGGACGACGACTGTGGTTACTTTCGTCCAGCCAGCAACAGGATTCCTGACGACGCTAGTATCGACAGGTACGCAGACGGGTGTTACTACCTTACCTCAGACCAACCCAACTGGCACGACTACGATAGTCAGCTTTATCCCTCCAGCCATTGGACTTCTCACGACAGTTGTGTCAACAGGCACGCAGACGGGAGTGACTACACTTCCCCAACCCGACCCAACGGGCGTCACTACGGTCATTAGCTTTGTACCTTCAGCCACCGGCTTTATTACGACGGTAGTTTCAACGGCCACTCAAATAGGCGTGACAACCCTACCTCAGCCTGATCCAACTGGAATTACCACAGTCGTCAGTTTCGTACCTCCAGCCACAGGCTTACTCACCACGCTGATCTCTACCGCGACTCAGACGGGAGTGACTACGCTGCCTCAACCCGATCCAACGGGCGTCACTACGGTCATTAGCTTTGTACCTCCAGCCACCGGCTTTATGACAACGGTGGTTTCAACGGCTACTGAGACAGGCGTGACAACCTTACCACAGACTGATCCAACCGGAATCACTACAGTCGTTAGCTTCGTTCCTCCAGCCACAGGCTTTATTACCACAGTCGTTTCATCTGCAACTCAGTCCGGCGTCACGACCCTACCTCAAACCGACCCAACCGGAATTACCACTGTTGTCACTTTTGTGCCACTTACCGGTGGCATTACCACAGTTGTATCAACGGCAACTCAGACGGGTATCACGACGCTTCCCCAACCCGATCTAACGGGTATTACGACAGTTGTTAGCTTCGTTCCTCCAGCCACCGGTTTCATCACCACGGTCATTTCATCGGCAGCTCAGACGGGAGTTACGACATTGCCTCAGACCGACCCAACTGGTACTACCACAGTTGTCAGCTTTGTGCCACTGACCGGTGCCTTTACAACGCTTATATCAACGGCAACCGAAACGGGTGTGATTACTCTCCCACAGACTGACCCAGCTGGCATCACCACAGTTCTCAGCTTCGTGCCTCCCATCACCGGTGCCTTAACAACGGTTGTCTCTTCCGCAACTCAGTCTGGTGTCACAACCCTACCACAGACAGACCCTGCGGGTACGACTACCGTCGTCACATTTGTTCCCATCACTGGCGCTCTCACAACGGTTGTGTCTTCAGCTACCCAAACGGGCGTCACAACTTTACCCCAAACCGATCCCGCCGGCACTACAACTGTCGTTTCATTTGTTCCCATAACCGGTGCCATCACAACTGTGGTCTCTTCCGCTACCCAAACGGGTGTCACGACCTTGCCTCAAACCGATCCTGCTGGCACGACTACCGTCGTCACATTTGTTCCCATCACCGGCGCCCTGACAATCGTAACTTCAACAGCATCCCAAACTGGCATAACAACCCTTCCTCAGACCAACCCAGCTGGCACGACCACTATTGTCACTTATGTGACGCCGAGCCCGAGCTGCACCCCTGGATTGCTATGGGCGTACTATGGCTTGTCACAAGCTCCGACCGACACCGCCAGTCAGGCGGGCAAGATCCCGTTCCAGAATTCAGACGCAACCTCACAAGCAAACTGGAAGACAACTTACTTCAATATTCAAACCGTACTCAGCGGACAGAGTCCCAATAATAGGGGCTTAACGACCACAGTTGGTCTGTCATCGTCTTGTGGCACCTCGACCCGAAATGTTTATGGTACTACTGTATCAGAATCCAACTACATCATCGTGCAGCATATTGGCTATTTTCATCCTGCTACATCCGGAACCTACACTTTCAGCTTCAGCGGTGTGGACGACAGCGTCTATCTCTGGCTGGGCAGCAGCGTCGCCAAAAGTGGCTACAGTAATTCAAATTATAACAAAAATGTCAACTACTACGACACAAGCAGTTCGGGTACTTTTACATTTACTGCGACTGCTGGTCAATACTATCCGATTCGTATCTTGTTCGTCAACGCGCAGAACTGTGGCTTGTTCAATTTCTCACTCACGAATCCCGCCGGCAGCGTTGTCGTTTCAAACTCCCAGTCTGTCGTTGGAGACCAGCTTGTGAGCAGCTGCCCGAACAATGCAGACGCCGCTCCCTTTAGTTTCTAGATAAGAAGCCTGTTTTTCTTTTGTTAGTACTAGTAATGCTTGTTCTTGTCTTCCTACCTACTCTTCTGTAACAATTCTTCTCCTTACACTTTATGTACTTTGTCGTCGAGTTTGATGGTTGCTATTGACCTGATGTTTAAGGTCCCGTAAACAATGTATTAGTCTTGATATATTCAATAAGCACTATTTGTTTTACGCATTCTGGATATTTTCCGTGTGCAAAGCTTCATGTTACAAGTCATTCTAGACAGCAAGAAAAAACCGAACTCGAGTATTGATATTAGTACAAAACAAAGCACACGGCTAAATACAATGACACTCCTCTACCTAAAGTACACTGTAAAATACGCGAGACTCTACATATATAGCGGAATACGTGGTGACAGTCACTGTCAGATTTTTGGACTGAAATCTCAATCCACAGTCTTTGCGAAACGGAACAAATGCTATCATAAGCTTCAGGGCTCCTGCAAGCGCGTACCGCAGACAAGCCCCACGACGGCAGACTCATCGATTATTGCTCTCAGACTTGAAGGGGAAACTGTGTCAAAATGATGAAAACAGATGAATACTCTCATGATTAAAAAGCATGGTATCGCTGACTAAATCATGCTCCAAAGATAACAACAGTGAATAAGAGCAATGAAATCGAAATTGTTCTGAACTCACTGACTGACATAGTACTCAAGGCTTGGTGCAGTGACATTTGGTGAAATAAGTCCTACTCGTCGGAGTTCATTGACCCAGAGATGCTGACTTGCGTTCCAGCCATACTTTTATCTTTCAACGGTCGCGACCGAAATTACTTTACATGAAATTGCCAGCCTGCGATGGAATTTGAGAGACGCAATCATAATGGACTGAGCTAGGCGGTTTTACTACATTTCTGTGACTTTCAAAGTGCAGGAAGCCATCCACTCCCATGTACGGCAGGATTACTGACAGCATGACTAATAAACCGCTCGGTATGACAGATAGCAGATAGCCTTTGAGGAGTCCCCAAGATGGCTTAAAATTTCTTGGAATTGCTATTAAACTTTCGCAAAGATCTTCCTCATGATCGAGTCCAATGTTAGGTACCCACGTCACCTTTATATCGACATAGCTGAATCTTTCTTCTATCCTTATCCGCACATTGTGTGAAGCTAAGACGGATACGAGACGCAAACAAACGTAAATGTTTCAGAAAATGCTTTGACAACCCAACCCCCCCCCCCCCCCCCCCCATTGCGGAGAGTGTATCCATCAGCAAAACGAGTCTTGGCCTCCAGGCTCAGGCCGCAGTCCTTTGTGGCATAAACAGTGTAAGGACTTTTGCGCTAGTTAGGATCTTAGATGATTACAGACAACTGGAAAGAAACACAACCACTTCCAACCATAGCCTGATAGACATTGAGAAGCTCGACTCTGCAGCCGACAGCGGCCATAGCAATGCCGGCGTGAGATGTCAAAAGGCAAGTAACGACGGAAGCCTTCATAACTTTGACATGCCAGCCGCCATCCCATTTGATCGCCTTTTCTTCTGCCAAGAAGCACTCTCTTATTTGCTGATATTGTTTATTCGAACTTCCTTGGCAATGTTCGAGAAGGCGGGGTTCTGTGCAAGGCTCCTTTCTCAAATACTCCAAGAGGCCATTGAAAACAGTAAGCCGAATGTGATTAGGATGAGAAAGAGTAGAGGAGACTTATTCCAACATTCGGGAAGATTAACTTTATATACGTCAGCGACCATAGGCCTCGAGTCAGTTTCATAGCAATCCGCAGCTATCAGACATAAGGGCGAGCCCCCTCCTCGAGGCCTTGGAGGCAAACGCAATGCCGGCTCTTCTCCATTGAGATCGAATGATCTGACAACCGCATGGAAGATAGCTAAGGAGTCCGAAAGCCTAAGCTTGACTAACTCTGGCGGGAATCAAATACAAGAACCATGGCAAAGCGGTTCGATGGGCTCAGCAGCCAGCTCATGTATGAGATCTTAGCTGGTGGGACTTGAAAATGCGTAGGTCCTAAGATTATCATGTGCATTTTATGTTATACTTAAGGATTTAGGACAAAGTAGGGCTTTCAAGGTTTGGAACTTTGCTCAGAGGGACCCAGGGGGGGGAAGCCTCCAGTCTGGCGTTTTGTTGACTCATTGAACAAACGGTACAAGTATGCCCCTTTTTCCTCTTGATTTTGTAGAGATCAACTACTGATGTGTTTTGTCCACTGGCGCTCCTTTTACTACAGCTAGTTTACCTATAGAAAACGAATCGTTCAATCTGGCCACAAATACAACGATCGATGTAAATTTGTGGCAGGGCTACCAGCTAAAAGAGAATGGTTTCGGTGACTAAAGTTGGATTTAACTTAATATATACTTTAGAAAGCAATATACCCTGTTTACCTACTGCTAAATAGTCTTCGCAGTAATCGAGTATGATAACTTGCCTTCGGCTTTGGAATTAGTCCTAGCCCAAGTACCAAAAATTCCCTAGCCCCTTGGCCAGACAAGCCTAAGCCCACAGACTTGAGGAATTGACGAAGTCAATGCTACTGACATAAGAAGCGATGTCAAGACAACGTACGTGCGCAGCCGTCTAACTTCCACATAATGCGCTGCCGAAGGGTGATCCTCGAGTCAGAAGCTATCATTGCAGGAGCTTCCACAACCGTAATTCTTGAATTCGGTGGGAGCCTTCTTTTCCAAGAATTTAGTCCAGGCCGTGTAGTCTCCTTTGCTACTTGTGCACCTTCGTCTTTGGTACCCCTTTTGGCTCAACATCTGCTGTTGGCTCCAAATGACATGGCACCCTTGATCGTTCCAGGTACACGCAGTCAAAGAGGTCGATCCGCTGCAAGTCTGCGTCTGATGGCCAACGCTGATACTGGCAGTCACGAACTCGGCCGTGATTCCAGCCGAAACTTCGAAAGAAGTAGTCTCGCAGACCTGGTTGTTGACGCCCTGTGTTGCCTGGCACGACTGGCTCTTGGTGCAGTAAACTTTGCTGGAGGCCTGGCGCCAAGGGTCGTTGTAAAGGTTCTGTTCGACAACGAAATAATCGTTCCAGCACTTGACACCCGAGGCGTACTGATGATTGCCGTCAGAACCTAGGTAACGGCCTTCGCCGTCGTTGTAGCGAGCCAGGAGCACGCCTCGTTTACCGATATCCGTATGGTTCGGCTGAAGGGCAATGTCGTAGGTTTCAGCATATGCGATCTCTCCTGCGATCCAATCAGGCTGTCTATCCCGTGACACCAGAGGTGATGCCAAAGAGACAGTCGAGAGCAGGAGAGGTAAGATCAGAGAGGTCTGCATGATAGAGGATTGAGAGGCCGAGCTTGTATGGCGTCGTGTCAACGGATTGTATTCAACGAAGTAGGATGGATATGGACCGAAATAATCATGACCCTGATCAGACTTAAGACTTTATTTATGTACCCAAGAATGGAGGGAGTGTATCTGATAGCTGTTCTCACCATCGCCTCGGTATGCTATACTCGGGGATTTGTTGTGCCGCCTCAGCTTCTCCTATATTCGGCATAAGTCCGTAATATGCGAACTGGAGCTTCTGTCTGCACGTGACTCAAAACCCATGTCATAAAGTACAACAGAGCTTGAGCAGCAATTTAAGGGAACCTTGTGTTCTTTAGGCAAGAAAGGCGCTGATTCTCGCATAGACATGGAGCCACTTGAAGATCTCATCATGCTGCAAAAATATCAACCATGACCGTTTTTCTATCCATCTCTTCATCAGAATATCTCCATTCATCCCACCAAAGTGTAAGCGATGGTCACAGGTGCTGGAGTATAAATCTGCAGTATTTGTGGTGTGCTAGATCTTTTTAAAACAAGACTCGAAGCAAACTTTCTAGCCCCAAATTCTTGTAGTGACGAAAAGCATAGTCAACGTTTGTATCTTTAGCTTGGGAAGTCCCATCATAGTCGGCGAGGGCCGCGACGGGAAATCCTAACCCTCCCTCTAAGCTTCACTGATGCACCAAAGTGCCATCCATACCTAGCAGAGAACATGATGAGTTGATCGCAATCTAAGATATCGCGCGTGGAAGAAATCATCTAGAAAACTGGAAAAGGTCATGACTTCTTTCACAAGGGGGCCCGTCGGTTACTAACCGTAGTGAATGGTATGGAAAGCATAGACTCAGCCCTCGTGTAGCTTGCTATTGCCAAGGGGCATATCCACTCCAACGTTCGCAAAAACATACTATATCATCTGATCTAATTCACAAGCTGCCGCAACTTAGAAAATGCGTCTGCCTTGCTTCTTCGATCTTATCATCTTATTCCCGCAATCAAGCTGTCCTTAGCGCGAAACCCAGATGCAGTCGGGGGCTTCCGAGTTTGGCAGAACGCACAGAAATAGGGGTCACACCAATCTAAGGGAGTGCAGGTTAAAGGAAGGATGTAGACTCATCTTGGACACTGTATGGTCGATCCAGCGTGGCAAAGATGGTATGGCAAGATAGGTAGTAACAGAAATCGGCGCACTTCTTTGTCATTTGAATCGTTGTTATAAAACCATTTTGATTAAAGCACTTATTTTAAGGTATCATTCAAATCAAACAACTAACTATCAACCTCTAGGACATTAGCGTCATATCTATCCTGCTGCCAACTCCCCAACCCGAGATAATAATAGTACATTACATCAGCCAACAAATCAACAAGTCATCATACGACAGACAAGCAGTATAGATTTAGGCCACTCATCCAAGTGTCAGCTCATTGTCGACTCTTCGTGTCTCGTAACTGGTGTCTACCGAAGCTCCTGCGGGGGATAGGTGTAAGTCTGCCCTTGAGGGGGTGGGGAATGCGTCGGCGAAACTGTGCCGTTAACAGGCGAGGGGGTATATGTCTGAGGAGGGTACTGCTGCGGATGTTGCTGATAGTCGTGCGGCGGCTGTGTGTAATTCTGGGCCGGAGGAGCCTGCTGATACTGTTGTTGCTGGGGTTGCTGGCTCGGCATCTCCTGGTACTGCTGAGGTGGTTGATGCTGGTA